AGTAGCCTCCTTCTGAATTGTAGATGTCCATGGGTCTATGACTAGATGCTACTAGGGAACACTGGAAGTACTGACCACAGACGCGTGAGCTCCAGATTAGGGAGGAACATCAATAGCCAAACATGTTTTGAAAATGCTTAAGGCTTGGTATTCGCCCCTACATAGGGCTAAACTATCACAGCTCTTGATGTTGCAAACTGAGTCCACTGAGGCAGGACGTGCGGTGGAAGAGGTGGCATTAGATGGCGTCATGGCGGGTCCTGGTACCCATCTCAAAGGACTGCATTCGCAGCCTGCCTTCTGATGGGGGGCACACCTACTCCTCCCTGCCTTGTCATCACTAGAACATTGAAGGCAGAGGGTAGTTGTGTAGGGATGTTTTTCTGACTGGAGATCTGTGACCAATGGTATTCCGCAAGGATCAGTGCTGGGACTTCTGTTGTTTGTAAGAGAGGTAAATGATTTTGATGAAAAAGTAAGTGTCTAATTAGTAAGAGAGGATTTTTTCTGAAGAAGGGTCCAGACCCGAAACATCAGCTTTCCTGCTCCTCTGATGCTGCTTGGCCTGCTGTGTTCATCCAGCTCTACACCTTGTTATCTCAGATTCTCCAGCATCTGCTGTCCCTACTATCTCTATCTAATTAGTAAGTTTGCAGGCAATAAAAATTAGTGGAGTTGTGGATAGTGAGGAAAGTTATCAAAGAATACAGCAGGATATCAACCAGCTGGAAAGTTTGACAGAGAAATGGCAGATGGAGTTTAACAGGATAAGTGTGAGGTGGTGCATTTTGAGAGGTCAAGTGCAAGAGGAAGGTATACAGCAAATGGCAGGACCCTTAAGAACATTGACATACAGCAGGATCTTGGGGTGCAAACTCACAGCTCCCTGAAAGTGGCAACACCAGTGGATAAGGTGGTAAAGAAGGCATATGGCATGCCTGCCTTCATGGGTCGGGGCATTGAGTATAAACGTTGGCAAGTTATGTTGCAGCTGTATAAAACTTTAGTTAGGCCACATTTGGAGTATCTCGTGCAGTTCTGGTCCCCACATTTTGTGAGATAGAAAGGGTGCAAAAGATGTTTACCAGTTCTTTGCCTGGATTGGAGGGGTTTAGCTATAAGGAGAGATTGAATGAATTTGGTTTGTTGACAGAGCATCAGAGGACAATGGGTGACCTGATGGAAGGATATAAAATTATGAGAGGCATGGACAGGGTGGATAGTTAGAGGTTTTTTTAACTCGATTCTATCTCGAACCCTCACAATTTTGTATATCTTGATCTTGTCACTCCTCAGCATTCTCTGTTCTGAGGAAAACATCCCTAGTTTCTCCAATTTCTCCTCATAGAATTCTATAAGGTGTTTCTTTAATTAACTAAGACCAATGGCTTTTCCACAGAATCTTGTTAAAACTCTGTTTAAGGCTGGCAAATTAAGGATTTAAACCGTGGATTTCAGTTAAGTGCGAACTTCAAACATAATTATATTTACACAAAACGATTTTGACTCACACACCCAGCGCCAGAGTTTACATTGAGTGGTGATTAAAAAGCCTCAGGAGGTCCACAGATCAGCAGGCCACTTGACACCTCCACAACGCTGCACATAAAATCAAACCATGGCTCGATGGGGACAGGATGCAGTGGGAGTGGAGACAGGTACACAGTGGGTGTGGGGACAGGTAGACAGTGGGTGTGGGGACGGGTAGACAGTGGGTATGGGGACAGGTAGCGTGTAGGTGTGGGGACAGGTAGACAGTGGGTGTGGGGACAGGTAGACAGTGGGTGTGGGGACGGGTAGACAGTGGGTATGGGGACAGGTAGCATGTAGGTGTGGGGACAAGTAGACAGTGGGTATGGGGACAGGTAGAGTGTGGGTGTGGGGACGGGTAGAGTGTGGGTGTGGGGACAGGTAGACAGTGGGTGTGGGGACGGGTTGACAGTGGGAGTGGGGACGGGTAGAGTGTGGGTGTGGGGACAGGTAGACAGTGGGTATGGGGACAGGTAGAGTGTGGATATGGGGACGGGTGGAGTGTGGGTGTGGGGACAGGAAGACAGTGGGTATGGGGACAGGTAGAATGTGGGTGTGGGGACGGGTATACTGTGGGTGTGGGGACAGGTCGACAGTGGGTGTGGGGACGGGTAGACGGTGATTGTGGGGACAAGAACACAGTGGGTGTGGGGACAGGTAGA